AGATTTGCCGCGTGCAAACTCGAATTCGCGTTCCGACGAGACGGGTGCACTCTCTCGCGCGCGGGAAAGAGAGAGAGTGAGGAAGAGAGACACGTGGGAAACAATAGGGGGAGAGAGAGACTCTAATCTGAAGGGCACTGGATCGAGCGGTTCTTCTTCGGCATTGTCTCCTCGGCGAACCCTTTGCTCCCGTGCCGCGCCTTTTCTTCGCTCCCCACCGGCCTTTTCCACGACCCTAAGAGAGTTTCGTACTATACGAGGGGTTGCCACGGCGCTGCCGATGGAACAGTTACCGTAGATAGTCCCTCTTTCTCGACGTTATCCTCATGCCTCGGTAGGCTCGCAAAGGAGTGACGGAAAACGTAGCGAGAAAGAGAGACAGGGAGGCAAGGAGAGAGATAGATAGATAGAGAGAGAGAGAGACCAGGGGAGGGTACGAGAGAGGAATTTTTATTTTTCTTAACGAGAACTGAGGTGTTTGCGACGTGCGAACCATTCGCCGAGAAACGAAATTCGAGTGCACGGCGCGAGCTCTCCGTGAGCTTAATTTCCCGCGGTGGATTTTCCGGCCGATCCCCGTTCGTGCCGGTAACGATAATTGCGCTAACGATTATTAGCGCGGCTGGTATAGTCGCGACGATCGTCGCAGTCGACGGCAATAGTCACGGCGACGGTCACGCTAACTAACATTTCCCGGATTGAGTCTCGCGGGGTGAGTCGGAAAATCGCGTGAATCCTCGCTTAAATTCGGACATGGCTCTCGGAGCGTGACAGGATCTTAATTGGGAGCTTCATTGCAACGAAACAGACGCGCGATACAAAAGATCATTACTCCGTGAGAATTGGTGTCCCGCTTTACGCCAGAGAGAAGATATTCGTGTGGGCGAATTCGTCGTCACGGCTGAGATCATAAATGGCGGGACGCCTCGCAGGCGACGACAAGCGTCGAGCTGTTTCTTCGCGAAAGGGCAAAGTCGAGTGTCTCCTCGGCGCTTTGCACGGTCCGGGAAAACGGAGAGATCGCCGGCGTCCTTCGCGGGATCGCGCTCATGCGACGCGAAAATCGCGAATCCCGCGCGGGGGTTCCCGCTGGATGAAAGAGGGTGCTTTTGATAGCTTGGAGGGAGCGCGAGAGGGAGGGCAGAAGCAACGACGACGATGACGATGACGACGACGACGGCGACGGCGGTGGCGGCGGCAGCGTGGTGGCGAACATGGCGTCCGGAAAGCGAAGCCGTGCGAGGCCGAGGTCGCGGCTGCGCCTCCGTACGACCGCGTGACCACGATCAATACCTGTAGGCGCGCTTCGGCGTCGCCGAGAGCGTACGTAGAGCTTCGCGTCGCGTCGCCTCGCGTCGCTTCGCGTCGCGCTACCGCCGCGCCGCGCCTCACCTCACCTCGCCGCGCCACGCCGCGCCACGCCGTGCCGCGCCGCGCACCGCGCACCGCGCCGGAGACGAAGGATGTTGAATTCGAAAAGTGTTATTCCGCGCGTCTATCTCTGAATGATATGGAAGGGAACGCCTCTCCACGTGGCTGCCACGTGTGCGCTTCCGCTTCGCGCGCGCGCTCGCGCTCTTTCTCTCTCTCTCTCTCTCTCTTTCTCCTCTCTCTGCTCTCTCTTCCTCCTCTCTCTCTCTCTCTCTCTCTCTCTCTCTCTCTCTCT